CTCCCTTCTCACCTAAATTCACGGTACAACACGTCAACATCCAAAATGGGCTTGCTACCAAAAAGCACGAGATCGAAGATATAATCACACACACAATTACAGACATATCAGTAGTTACAGAATCTATACTCTATAAATCAAATAATCCGAATATTTATTAATATACTTCAATCAGAGTTGACGGACTGAACAAAAATGAGCCAATTAGGAGTATAGCTCTAGAAATCGACTTTATCGGTCACACAGATACATCAAATGAGAGTATAACAATAGATGTTCTCTTAATAAACAATAAATACATTACAATAGCTGGTATTTATTGTTCTCCTATGAGAAATATAGATATATATCTACTATGTAAATTGTATAAATATAACAATAAGCTAGTTATAATAGGAGACCTCAATAGTAAACACGTAGTATCTGGATGTGGAACAACAACAACAACAAAATGAAGAAAACTATATAACTTCCTAGAAAATAGCGACTGTGTGTTATTTAAAGATGCTACACCGATACACACAGGACTCGTACAACACCGGCGACATCCTAGACTTATGTCTATGCTCGTGACGACTCAGCTACAAATGTATACGTTTCAATGTAGTATATGATCTAGACTACGATCACCTACCCATCTGGTGCGTCTTCGATCTCGAACCCCACCATAACAAATCAAAATTCAATTATAAAAAAAGCAAATTCGGTTGACTAAGCCTAGATACGTTACTACTGGACTCGATAACATAGCACACCGAGAAACCGTCAGATGTAGACCGTCACAAATCACCGAGTGTTTTTTCAAAGCTGCAGATCAGACTGTACCGAAACACAAATAACATACCATTCACAATATCATGGCAACCACATACACGGATAATTAATATGATAAAAGTACGCCGCCACTTAAGAATAATTTATATAAACACTTAGAGACCCACACGTCAAAACACAGATAAAAACACTAAGAAACAAAAATACGAAACGACATAAAATAACTAAAAAAAGAAGACAGATGGGATTCCTACTGCTCACAAGTGAATGAACATTTTGATCCAAAGCACTTCTGAACGCATCTGAAACGCATACAGGCAAAATGCCCACAAAAAATATCTCACACTAAAACATGAAAATAAAGTATCGCACACAAACGTACAAAAAGCAGAGGCATTCAATGAATAATTGAAAAACACATGGCGAACCAGATATGAACATCCATTATTTTAATACGGTCAATGAGTATATACCGCAAAACAAACACATAATCACACCAAGATTTCCAGCTAACTCCACTAACCCTCAAGATCCAGAACAAATAGGTAAAAACAATACAGCAAGCAAAGTGACAAACAACATCACAAAAATCGAAGTAATCACATCCATAAAACAGACAAATACCAAAGGAATATGGCATATAAGTCATCCTCCTTTAAAAAGGCACTAAGAACTTAAGTTTGACTACTTAACAGCACTGTTTAATTTATTCCTGAAGTCAGACTATACCCCAGCCTATTGAAGCAAGGAAATGTTCTTATGTTCCTATAAGAAAGTAAACCAGCAAATAAACTAGAGATTTGTTGTCCAATCAACCTGACCAGCTGTGTGAGCAAAAATTTTTAAAATAATTGTAAGCAACAGACTCTCCACTTTCTTAGAAGTCACACCAAAGTTACCAGAAGTACAAAAATGGTTTCAGAAAATTTCGGCAAACTACAGATTATTTAGTCAGATTAACTGTAACCATAGCAGATAGTTTTAATAAATAAAATAATGCACTGTTGCCTTCTTTCTCGATATTGAGAAAGCATTCGACACTGTATGGCACAATGGTCTAAGTTTCCGTATGACGTAGATGGAATTGCTACGAGGAATTAATCTAACTGGTTATCTAACTTTTTGGAAAATAGAAAATGTAGAATAAGGGTAGCTACTCAGAATACTTTGTTTCTGAAACAGGTAATTCTCAGAGAGAGGTAGTTAGCCCTGTCCTATTGCTAATCTAAACACCGTTCAACCTTTCGGAATTAATCTAGATCCTGGAATTAGTGAACTCAATTCATTGGTTTCATCTCTGTCAGAAAAATAATTTTCATTCTTTGCTTATTTTTTCATGTAATGTGAACACTGAATTTCCTAAAACTAACTATTTATTTAAGATAATTTTCCATGCCTGTTTTTATAAATTGATTAGCATAACATATCTTTTTTTCAATCAGTCTCCAGGTGTCATCTTTATTTTACTTAAACACTTAAGTATAGTTTTAAATATATATATATATATTTATTCATTTTTAAAGTAAAATATCCCTGATACCTTTTCACATACACTCTCGCCATCGGCTACATTGTACCGGAAATGAGATACTTACAACAGTACATAGAGAAATGGACTAAACATTTCCTGGAAAACCGGATGACCTTCATGACGTCACTAAACTTCCTTTATATATCACTCATTCGATTACATCACCATTCCCAGTTTGCCCCTGAAGAAGAAAGGTCCACCCTTCTAAAGCACTCGGGTTATAGGGTTTTTATTCATTTCTATCAAGACTCCTAGCCAGTTCGTTCAAATATTTCGAAAAACAAAAACAATTTAAACAAGAATGATCTACTAAGGATCGCTATATCATACATAATTATGATAGTCCTAAATGCCCCCAAGTGGCACAGCGGAGTGTCAACGGACTTATACCGTTAGAAACCAGGTTTCGACACTCGTGAAGGGCAGAGTCAGGATAGCTACTTGTGTAACTACAAACAAAGAAAGCAGTTTTAAATAACACTTAATATCTATCATAAGAAAAAGGCCACCTATAGCTAGCAAATATATCACTTAGATTAAGATGTCAAAAGTGTATTTAAAGCGTATTCATGTAAAATACGCATCTGATAACTTAATCAAGTGAAAAATGTGTAGGACTTTTACATAATGAAATTGAAAATGTGGTGAAAAAGCACTAAAAGTTATAAACTTTACTTTTATGGACATGTCCTCGAAAAGGAAAGAAGGATCAGTGCAATTACCCTGAGGAACACTGATCTCGTGATGTAAGCTACTTAGCATTTTTCCGAAATATATATGTACTGTCAAGGAGGAAGGAAAAGGTCTCCACTAGCACCTGACCCTCCCAGGTCGCTCAAACACGACCTAAAACCCGATCGAGAAGAAATATAGCAATTGGACAGTGGCAGAACATATTGACTAGGTTATTCGGGATACCAACCCTAAAAAAGCACTTTGTAAAATGAAAAGAACTTTATTGAAAAACCAGAACACTTTTACAATACACATCATGATCCACAAAATTTACTCGAGTGTGTATCATGTTTGCTAACTATACTAAGTAAATACGTTAATAATAATAATACATAAATAAATATTGAATATACACGATTTTAAATACGCAATAATATTTATTACTATACGAGAATTTATTTTTCCAATATTCATAATATGTCGTTTTAAACATTCATGATGTTTTATTTTACATTCATGATTATGCTATAAAGAGTTTCAGGTTCAATATTAGTTATCAATTTCTTCAATGCCTATTTAATATACTTGTTTTTACCATTAAATAGTGATCTTATTTCATTTGAAATATTATCATAAAATTTTGTTATGTAATACAAATTACTCTTCTCAATATTTCCTTTTTTTTTAACTTTAGGAATTTGTAGATTTTTCAGGCTCTTCAGTTCTTGTTTCGTATATTAATTATATTTTTTGCCAATTCCATATATCTTTGTTAAAAGGCAACCTATTTACATTGTTAAAATGTAGTTTTGTACTATCAAACTGCGATGGTAATAACATATACAAAAAATAGTTTTTGTAACTGTATTATAGCTCTTATATTTGCTTATTCAGTACTTCCCCAGCAGGTTATACCATACTGTAGGATAGAATCAAACCAGGCATAACAGACATTTTCCATTTCTTTAAAGAATATAATTTTTTAACAATCAAATCTTATTACAACGTGTTTTTTTCAAAACTTTTATTTGCTCCTTCTAATTAAATCTACAATCTATCATTATTCCAAGACATGTTCTGATTCTTGTATAAATAATTAACTTTCTAATGTTTTTACTGCTATAATATATTGGGTTACTTTGAATTATTTAAAATTTATTATTTCAAAGAAAATCTCATATAATCTTTTTTCTTAAATTTCAAAGTAACAAATTTCCATTAAACCATTTCTTCACATATTTCAACTTTTTATTTAATGTTTGTAAAATATTTCAATGCACAGTTGAACAAAGAATACATAATACAGTTTGAAATATATTTTTGACACTATCAAAAATGTAACAATATAAGATCTAAAACATTTGTTCGACAATTCTTATTTGATTTGTAAAATGAATATTTTGAACAGCTTTAGAGTGAGGTTAAGAACACTGTTTGATCCTGTGGGATCTTTTAATTTTACTCCACCATGTGGTAACCATAAGTTTCACTGTATTTGATGTACAATTTGAACTGGAACAATTTCAATTATATGTTACACACATATTTGTGCTTTTAAAATGTCAGTTGGAATATTTTAAGGCTTTTTAATATGGAGAACAAACTTTCGCTATCAATTAAACCGCTTTAAGAGAGATGAACTTAGCGAAGCCCAGTTGTTTCTAAGTCAATTGTAAAAGGTTCCTTCGCACAATACAACAACCGTTCCAAGCAACAAATATTTAACGGTTTAGATATTTAGTTTGTTCACGCTAAAAATTACTTACTTTGGTTGTAGATTATGTTTCCCTAAACATAAGTTTAATTGATGGCATTCGTAAAGAAAGATACTGTAACATGTTCAAGTGTAGTTCAGTACTAGTTAGCAAAATACGCCTATTAAAGTTTATTAATTTACAATAATATTTCTCAAATTGAAATAGCAGCTCAATGATCTCGTTTACTAATACAAAGCTTCTAATTCTGACTAAGTGCATTAATTATTCTAGACACC